CACACCACACAGGATCATCACTGGCCCAGTTTCTCCCTGTCCTCCCTCCACACCAGATTGTGAGTTGCTGCTTTGTATTTTCAGAGGTTGGCATGTGGCAGGTATCGGTTGTGATGTCACAACATTTGAACAGACAGCACGCAAACAAGATGTTCTGTAAGATGATGGGGTTGCTCTAAGCATCTGAACTCACACAGTCACAACACTGTGCGAACCCCTTCAAGCATCCTCACCTTTGGGGCTTTCTCAGCTTTCAGTTTACGAACCACCTCCCCTTGTGCGGCAACCTCATCATGGAGAGATTTACTGTCCAGAAGACTTTCTGATGATTTAGAAGAAACATTCTGTACTGCTGCGGCCGGGGGATTTCCAGGTTTGTATTCCTGGCCAGTTTTCTCCTTGTATTCAGCTTTCAGAGCCAAAAGCTGCTTTACGGCTTCATCTATAACTTCCTTCATGGCTTTCTTGGCTTTTAATTCACGCACCACATCCCCCTGAGTGGCCACTCTGTTGTAAAGGACCAAGGAATCCTCAGATGTTGCACAAGTATTATTCAGAGACGGTGCTGGCTTTTCCTTACAAGGAGGTGTCTACGGAAGCAGAAAACCAGAAGTATAATAACTGATTTGTGCAAAATGTCTTTTTACAAAATTATATCCAATTGTTTTATAAGGTTTCAAGTTAAAAAAACAAAATATTTAAATTTCAATCCCTTAAAAAGTTTACATGAATAATCTCATTCCTAAAAATGTATCCTAATGAAATAATAAGAGAAGTAAAGAAAGGCAGAGGCATATGGATATTCACTGGAGTGTTTTTACCACAGTATAAAACTAAAAATAACCAAAACATCAGTGGAGGATTAACTTATGACGCATCATCCGACTTAAGAATAAATCACTGCTCCACCACATACTAGCTGTGCGACGCTGAGTGAATTAGTTAAGCCTGATTCCTTACTGTAAACTAGTGATTATTGTACTTAATCATCAGTTGACGGGAAAATAAAAGGCAACTGCAGTGGACTAATTACTTTTGTGTGTGGTCGTTCTAGCCACGGGCTTCTAACTCCCACCAGGTGTGATAGGGTGATTGTGGCCTGTCAAGGGGATTGGTCAGTTCTGCCTTAAAAGAGAGCCAATGCTAGAACAAAGAGGAGTTCCCACCCCCATAAAAGGAGAGCTCTGGAGTGGAGACCTGCAGGAGAGGATGCAGTGGGCTTCCTGGCCCACGGAGAGAGGAAAGCTGAGCGCTTCTGGGCAGACTGAGGGCCAGGGAGAAGTCTACGCCTGACCCACGAGTTTGGGACCTGCCAGCCTCCACAACCGCGTGAGCCGTTTCCTTTATACGGTTCGTGAGTTCTGTGAGGTGCTACAAGGAATTAGGGAACCCAAAGGCAGGAGGGAGAGTGCTGAGGCGAGAGAGAGTAGCTGATGTTAGAGATGGGGTGGCACAGCAGCTTGGAAAGTTAGACATTTGGAACATCTTTAACCTCTGCCTCATAGGAACCATCTTTGTGCTGATCCTTATAAAAGAAGTTATGGTTTAGTTGGGGTCAGAATGATGGGTTTTGTTACAAAGGCCCTGACTCGCTGGAATATGTGGTTTTGGAAAAAAGCGGATAAACAGGAGAATGAGAACCCTTTGGTTTCTGGGTGGGATGAAAAGCACCTGTGGACTGAAGAACTGTTACGCTGTCATCAGTTACCCAAGACAAAAGCTATCCGTGGGACTCAGGAATGGCGGATCTAACAACGCGTGAGGAATTGGCTAACTGGGTGCATACGGAAATACAGGTGATAAAGAAAGGGCCAGACACACAACCCCCCTGGCTTCTGTTGTCCGTAACAGATGCAGAGGCAGGGAGAAGGGATGCAGGGCCTGATTTTAGCCCTGAACCAAGCCCAGATCCAGTCCAGTCAGGGCTACAACCACCAGTCTCAGGGCCGACTCAGAAAGGAAAAATTGGGTCTGGACAACAGGCATTTCCTCTCCGACCGCTGGCCCCTGGGAAGGTAGTCGAGGTAGTCCGCGGGGGAAATGGGCAAAACCAAGACACTACAGAAATCAGGGGGTACAGTGTAAAGGAGTTGCTTCCATTTGTAGATCAGTATCCAGCTTCCCAAGGAACTGTTACTAAAATAGACGGTGAGAAGAAAACATTCTTTGATGGTTATGGGCGTGGGGATAAGGGTGAGGGTTAGTCACTAAGTAGACAGCAGATAAGAATCATCTTAGGTGAAGGGAAGGACAGCACATACTACAGGGGAAGTCAGCACAACTGGACTAAACCAAAGCTAAGACGTTTCCTGAATACAATCAAATACTTTGAGAGACAGAGTAGCAGGGATGGCGGGTCTGGGGACCATGGTTTCAGGGGACATCTAGGTCAACTGGCATAACAAAGCTTATTAAGAAAATGTTCTGCATCCTACTTAGGTGAGTGGCGTCTGGGGTCTTAAAAGCTTGCAAGTGGCCCTCTAAGATGCATCAACTGGTCCCAACCACTTGGAGTAAAGGAGAACGAAGAACACCAAAGACACAAGGACTGTATTTGCCCAAGAGACAGAATGGGCCACATAAACCAGACACTTCATCAGCCTGAGACCAGACGAACTAGATGGTGCCCGGCTACCACCAATGAACATCCTGACAGGGAACACAACAGAGGGTCCCTGATGGAGAGGCAGAAGGATGGCGTGCAGAACTCAAATTCTAGTAAGAAGACCAGACTTAATGGTCTGACTGAGACTGGAGGTGCGCCGGAAGGCATAGCCCCTGCACTCTCTATCAGCCCAGAACTAAAACAATGCCCGAGGCCAACTCTTCAGACAGGGATTGGACTGGGCTGTGGGACGTAAAGAGATACCTGTAAAGAGTGTGCCTCTCAGTCAAGTAGATACAAGAGACCAAAGGGGCAACTTCTGTCCAGAGGTGAGATGGGAAGGCAGAGTTAGGAGCTGGCTGAAGGGTCATGGGGAATCAGGGGCGGAAAGGAGGAGTGTGCTGTCGCAGAATGGGGTGATAAATTAGGGTCTCATAACAATGTATACAAAAAATTTTGTATGGGAAACTAACTTGAAATGTAAACTTCATTTAATTACAACAATAAAAAATAGACTGTGAGAGTGACTAATTTAGGGAGCAGTGTCTTTAATTTTGAATGCTACAGAATGGAATAAATCTATGTAAAGCCCTTAGCAACGGTGTCTGAGAAAGAGTATCAATAAGTGTTAAGAGCCGTTATTAATAGTATTTTTTTTAAGAACAGCCCTTATTAATAGTATTTTTTTTTAAGATGAGCTATATCTAGACTGTTAATAAGGCAAGAATTGTAACTCATCACTGTGTAACAATTCTGTATTTATGTAAAAAGTATACATTACAGGTACATGTTTGTGTAAGTACATGCACCAAATCTAGAGATCAGTTCACTAAAATGACCTCTGAAGAGTGAATAAGCATGCTGCTTTTAGTCTCAACATCCTGCTGTTCCTCTGCCTAGACTGCCTTTCCCCCTCTGCCTACCGAAACCCTCCCAATGCTAAACGCGGCTCACATCATAACTTTCCCGTGGCTTTTTAAAAAATGGTCTTCACTTAATTTTTCAGAACAATCTCATCCATACTCATGAAGTCATGTGTATTAAACCCCAAAATTTCTCATCTCCACCCCAGAACTCTGTCATGGACCTAGACCCAATATTTTGAATGGTCTTCAAGACACCTTTATTTGGATAGGCAAGAAGCACCTCAAACTAAATAGTTGCATTTTACACAAGGTTTAGGTTCTGAAGTTAGCATGCATCGGAAAACATACACTCAAAATTACCCCTGAAAAATAAATTCTTTAAAAAATCTCAATTTTAATGTTTAGTATGGTAAATATTGGTGAATATAACCTAAGTAAGCCAAAGCTCTTTGGGTCCTGAATCATGTTCAGGAGTGTAAAGAGGTCCTCAGAGTCCCTGGGTGGCACAAATGATTAAGCACGTGACTACTAGTTGAAAGATGGTTCAAACCCACCCACAGGCTCCTCTGAAGACAGGCCTGGAGATGTGCTTCCAAAAGGTCACAGCCTTGAAAACCCTATGGCGCAGCTCGACTCCGCACATACGAGATCACCATGAGCTGGGATCGACTCAACACCAATTAACAAGAGGGTCCTGAGTCAAAACAGTCTGAGAACTGTTGGTATATACTTATTACAAAAAGAGGCACGAGGATACTGCCCTATATACATTGTTATTTCTCATTCTTTCATTCTTGTTCTTTTGGCTGAGCTCACTTAGTTTTTAATTTGTATATTAAAAAAGCTCAAGTGATGACACCCCCACTGTAAATAGTTGCAAACTCATATCTCCTAACAAGCTTAGGGGTGTTTGTTCCCCCCAGTTCAGGGTATCATCTATTTGCCCAGTCTACCAAGA